GTATTTTTTTTTTAAGTTTCAAATATAAAAAAATGGTCTCAAAAAATGGTCTCATGGAATCAAAATGAGTATATATATATATATATATATATATATATATGGACACATACATGTGTGTGTTCTTTTTTGGAAGGTTTATCCTTTTTCTACATCATTTCACTAGACAAAATCTTTTCGAGAATTTTCATAAATTCATATATGAATAATTTGATTTATATACGTTTCCTTATATAAACATACAGTTTCTGGAGGCAACACCAACGATTCCTCACCGATCTGTTCGGGTGGTGGCGGAATGCAATCGGCAGAGTCATGGGATTGGGTAACCTTATTCCCGGGTTCGGAACCGACATGAACTTTCTAGAAGCACTTTCGAACACGAGAACCGATGGCTACGGTGCACTCTACCGTGAAGGAACCGCTGCTTATCTCAACTCCATCGTCAACATGAACTTCCCCTTCAGAACCAACCATGTCCGGGACAGTTTCGTATCAGCCTTGGCCTCGAACAAGGCAGCAGCGGCTCAAGCCGAGGTTTTCCGGCTAGCGAATGAGGGTCATCTAACACCTAGAGCTTAATCGATTGTATCCATTTGTGTCTATTTTATTACCAAGCTTGCTTTAAATTTGTTGTGTGACATGATGGGATTGATATCTTGCTAATTAGCAGCTACAGTGATGATGTTCTACACCATGTTTACATGGTTTATCATATAAATTTTGGTTGGTCATAAATGGAAAAAAAAGTTTTCACCACAATAAAATTCGCTTTGTATGTAATAATTAATAAGCTTTTTTAACAAGATTTAAGGTTGTTTATCCAAACATTTAGGGGCCGTTTGCTAAATGTTTACCTGGTATATAAGTACTTACCAGGTAATTTTCCTCACCGGATGAACATGGCAAAGGCCAAGAATCTTACTCGGTAAGAGCGATGATAAGGATGGAGTAGTCTTACCCGGTAAGTGAGGGTGACGACTCTTACCCGGGTAAGCGCTTACCAGATAAATTATTGTATAAGATATGTTTTGATGTACTACAATCTTACCCAATAAAATAAATTATAGTACTTATCGGGTTAAGCATTTAGGTAAACAGCCTCTTAGTCGGTAAGTGCTTATCGGTGAGAGTCCACACTCCAACTTACATTTATCGGGTAAGAAGATGTTTGACAATTGCTGAATGATTTGGTGCAAAATGATTAATAGGCTCTTATGATATAGGACAAAATGAAATATAATTGTTTGGTAATTGTTTACAATGAAATTAGGGCGGTAAATGGTTAAGGGAGACATATGATACAAAATCATTCAGAGGGTTTTAGAACCATTAAGAGTTATGCAAAATCATTAAGACATATGGTTAAGGGAGACATATTATACAAAATCAAACTTGTTTGGATGTCCAAAAACGTCTAATCAACTCATTGCAACATTTTTATATAAGAAACACGGTTATTTGATCGTATAAATTTGAATCTTATACATAAACCATTTTATTGAAACGTACAATTACCTTTCAATAAAGTCGATTTTATCTTAGTAGATGTTAGGTGTTGGTCAAACCAATTAAGAACATTATATTAAGCAACAAAGATATGGTTTCTAATCAAAAGGCATTTGGCCTAGCGGTATCGTAGCCCTTGGCCTTCTAGAAGGTCAGGGGTTCAAACCTCATAATAGATAAAGAGGATGTGTGAGTTTATTTGTTGCATTTGTCGTATATAAATATTATATACTAGAAAAAAGTATTGTTTGTAGGCATTAGAAAGGGTTGGTGGATTTGCTCTTAAAAGAGTAATGCACCACCATAACATAAGTCAATGCTTGTGTACTTTACTAACAACAACATTAACTTTCATGTACAATAATTTCAAAAAACATTATTATAAAGTATTTGATAAAAATTCTTAAAAATCATTTATATATGGAGTAATGTGTATTAATGCATATTACTTAAAATTCAATATTACAAGTAAATTATACGTAAATAAAACTTATTAAAACTTCATTTTTGAATTCGTATAATTAACTGTAGATAAATATAATCAAATACAAGATAGATCTCACATCTTAAATATAAAAACCCTAAAATATAATTAGGATAATTATTGAGTTCTAACAGAATCATTATCTTTATAGAAAAATTATTGTTAAGCCAAAAATAAATTATTTCATTTGACCTAAATTATAGTATAATAAAAAAATAATAACTTTTAAATAGTTAATTTGATATTAATATCGATATATTTTTCATATTTTTATGATATCTTCAAATTTATTTTTATTCAAAAGTAAAAACGTTATCTTTTCCAAAACCACATAAATCATATTATATCAACATAGACGAAAGATAAAACGAAACATTAAAATAAATATGTATCTCACGGTATTGCACGAGTACCTTTCTAGTATATATAAATATATATAGCTGATATTTATTTATATGTCTTATCTTAAAATCTATTTTTAGCTGGTTAAGATGTATTAGGTTCTTTTGGTTGGATTATGTATACAGAGATATAACTCGGGAAAAAAAAAAACTGCTGGCAGGTGAAAGAGTAGAAGAATTTATAGATTTACCGGTTTGTTTTCATGGTACTACGCTATTTAATCTTGATTATAAATGTTACGATAAAACAAGCCTTTCGTACAAATTCGAGTACAAAACCATTACTTAGCCCCCCATCACAATCCCCATCTCCACCGGGAATATAATCACATATCCATCCCCAACGGGGAAAATGAGGATTTTTTCCCGTTTATGTAAGTTATTTTAAATTAAATATGTGAGAGACGATACATGTTTAAATCTCAAACATTTTCAATAAACCTAAAATCAAAATGATTTTTAATTTAATACAAAAAACCACAACTTTATATAAGAATTAATAACCTAAAACAAAAAAAAATCAATTTAATACAAAAAAAACTTAAAGTCACATGTACCAAAAGATATTAAGTAATATAAAACCATATCGAGTAATATACTAAACTCATCGAGTGATTATATTTTGATTTGACATCTATAATATTACATATTAACATCCAAAAAATAACAATTTTAGATTATAAACCTAGTTAGGAAATAAGAAATTATGAATTACCGTTTTAATCGAAATAAACAATATACATATATATGTATAAATATATATAATATTTATTAATTAATATATATAACGGGTATGGGGCGGGACGGGAAGTATGATACCCGTCCCCATCCCTGGTTTGAGACAAATGTGGATCCCCGTCCCAATCCCCGATTTAGCGGGGAATCCCTGTCCCTGACCGGGACAGGTGGACCGGGTTCCCCGACGGGTCAGGACCCATTCCCATGTCTAGTTTTTTCAATTGCACTTCGTTTTTTTCAAAAGCATTGTATTTTGTTGGTTCCTCTTTGCTTATGTCTGCTACTTGATTTTCGGCACTCGGTGAATTTGAAGTATCAACTTTGTAAGAGTGTTTAGTGTATTTGAATGCTCGTAAAATACGATAGATTATTAGAAGACTTCACGAGAAACAACTCGGTAGCGAATCATCTTAAAACGTTAGACAAATTTCTTTATTTATGTTCAAGAGAAAAAGTTTCTTGGAATTGTAGCTTTGTGTGGACGCCCAAACTTTGTTTTTTTTATAAATAATTTTTTGTCTATTTAACGATGCATTAAATTAAATTATAAAATCTGATTTTTGTCTTATTTAAATACGTTGTAATAAGTTTATAGAACGTTTTTGGGTGTCTTAACAAGTTTTATATGACGTTTCTAAAACAAAGCGTCTCATTAGCTATTTTATATGACACTATTTGAAAAAAATGTTTTATAAAAACAAGTGTCTTATAAAAAGATGGTTTATATGACACTTTTTCAAAAGTGTCTTATAAAATAGGTAGTGGGACATTAAAAGTGCCCCATAAAACTTGTTAAGACGCTAAAAAACATTCTATAAACTTATTACAACCCTTTTCAAATATGATCATTTTTTTGGTCCTGTAAATTGAGTCTTATAAAATACTCTAATAAAAAGCTTTGAAATTAATAATTGTCTTATAAACTCAATTTTATTATAGTGAGGATGTGAATTCTCCAAGTTTAGTAAACTTCCCAAAAATGGTTATTATGGGAGATATATATTTTTTTCAATATATTCCATCAATAAAAATTTGAAATTAGATGTTTAATGGAAATAAATTATTTTTTATTATACCCCACTAATAAAAAAAAGGGTTAAATTAAACATCTAAAAGATAAAATAATATTTTTTTATTAACCTGAATATCCAATCCACTATGCGAGCCGACTAATCTCAGGACGACCATCTGTTTTGCAGATAGTTCGGAGTCATTGCATTTGAACCTCCGTGGCCACAAGGGTATTTTTTATTCACCCTTGGATTTGAACCTGTGATCTCCAGGTACTTTTGACATTTGGAGCAAAGCTCAAACCAACCAGACACCACCCTTGTGGTTAAATAATATTATTTTACATGTATGGAATAATTTAATTAATATTATAGTTTTTAAAATAAAAAATTATTGAAGTTGAATATAATTTTATTTAATATTTTAAATTTCAATTCTTCATTTTAGATAAAATTTTCAAAATTCTATTTGAAATTCTCATATTATTCAAGGTTATAAATGACATGGAGGCGATGTCAAGTCTCAAGCCTTATGAGTTACAGCGAGGTTATGGTGTTTTTCAAGGCGTGCCCTAAGGCGGCACACACCCACACGCATATGCAAACACATGTATAAATACACACACACCCTTGTATATATTAGTGTTTTGAACAATACTCTCGAATAAATTAAATTCATATAAAGTAATAAAACTAAAATGAAATAAGAACCATTGATACCAAATATATAAAACTTATAGAAAATCATACCAAAAGTGTAAAATCGGGATACAATATTTATTTCCAACAAATTCTCTATATTAGAGCATTTTTCAAGTTATGCTAAAATGGAGAAAAGAGAGATTTTAGTAATTTTTTGCTTCAACAACTATGATATCTTGTATGCTAAAATAGAAAAAAGAAAAAAAAACTGATAAAAATCTCTAAATTTATTTATAGTTTATTATAAGTTATTATTTAATTAATAGTGTTCTAGAAATTACTATTTCATGTGAAATTTGTTTGACTGTTTGAAAGTTTGTTTAAAAAGGTGTTGGTGTATTAAATATATTGAATATTTTAATAATAAAATTATTGCTATAGTTGCTAAAATGTAACAAATGTTGTAGTTGAATGTTATTTTTTTATTTAGAGATTTTGATTTTCAACATTTATTATATTATTAAAATATTTAAATATACTGTATTATAAAACATTTGACAAAAACTTTTAAAAACCATTTTTTATACATGAAGTTCTGTTTATTGATACATATTAATTAAAATTCAAGATTACAAGTAAATTGTACATAAATATAACTTATTAAGCTTTATATTTGAACTCGTGTAACTAACTATAGATAAATATAATTAAATACAGAATAAAATTCTCGTTTTAAATATATTTAAAATATAATTAGGATAATTATTAAGTTCAAACAAAATACTTAGTTATTATTTTCATAAATATTAAAACAAAAAATAAATTACTTCGTCATTAGATCTAAATTAAACTATAATTAAAAAAATGAATTAAAAAAATTACACCAAAAAATGAGAACTTTTGTAATTTTTTTTATTTTTATGATATTTCAAATTTATATTTTATTAAAAAAACATTATTGCTTGTTCCAAACCACATAACTTCGTATTATAACATCGACAGAGACCAAAAAAAATAAAACAATGCATTACAATCGAGATATATATTGTTGCATTGCATGAATACCTTTTTAGTAAATTTATAATTTCAATACACTTTTTAAAATGATTTTATGTAAAGTAACAATAATTAATTGTTCTCTCCTCACATCATTTTTTAGATAATTCTTTGAATTTTGAACTTTCTATAGTTTTATTTAATTTAAAAAACATTATAGAAAATCTTTTCAAACAAAATAGAGAATAAAAGCTCTATTTTTTTCCATTTTAAAGAATCTGTTTGAACAAATGGAGTTCCAACAAATTCTCTAAAATGAAAAAAATGGAACTCTATATATTTTTCCTTCCAGAAAACCCCATTTGTTCGAACAAAAAAACATGAAAGTGAATGTGAAAATTTTCAAATTTGGAGAATTCCCCAGCAACAAAAATGACGAGAGATAAAACAATTTTTATTATATTTTCACAAATAAAAACCATTGATGTTCAATGTTTGATACAAAAACTAGCATTTTAATACATGTATAAAATATTTTAATAATATAATTAATGATAAAATATTTAATTTAAAGAATCTGTTAAAGATAAATCCATATATGTGTGTGTGTGTGTATATATATATACATACTAGAAGGGTACTCGTGCAATGCATTAAAACACATTTCCATTTCAATGTTTTATTTTGTTTTTTTATCTATGTTGATATAATATGATTTACGTGTTTTTGAGAAAACAATAATGTTTTTATTTTTAAATAAAATATAAATTTGAAAATATCATATAAAATTTGTAATTTTTTTTATCAATATTAGTACAAATTAACTGTTTAAAAGTTATCATTTGTATATTTTTTAATTCAATTTTTCTATTATAATTTAATTTAACGTAACGAAGTAACTTAATATGTAAGTTTAATAATATTTTTTTATTAAGATAATAATTAAGTATTCTGTTAGAACTCAATAATTATCCTAATCATATTTTAGATTTTTTATATTTTAAAATGAGATGTTTATCATTTATTTGATTATTTTTTATCCACAGTTAGTTACACTATTTCAAACATAGAGCTTTAATAAGTTGTACTTATGCACAATTTATTTGTAATATTGAATTTTAAGTAATATGCTTAAATAAATATTATTTTATATATAAAAAATGGGTTTTAAAAGTTTTTTGTCAAATGCTTTATAATATAGTATATATATATATATATATATATATATATAAAGATTTTAAGTTTTATTTATTCATTTTTAAAAAAAAAATAAGAACTTTTTATAACTAGTTTGCTAAGAACATCTCCAACAACTTTTTTCAAAAATGGAGAAAATTAGATTTTTTAGCTTATATTTTGTTACAACAGTTTCTCCACAACTATCTCCAAAATGAAAAAAAAATATGAGAGATAAAAAGTTTTTTCTTCAAATATAGATATCACCCACCCAAAAATAATGACCAAGTGAGAACATTAATAGAAAACTTTAAGAATAAATATTTAAAGAAAAAATAAAATTTTAATAAATAAATGAAATATTTTTAATATTATAATCAATATTGGTTTCTTTAAAATAAAGAATTTATTGGAGACGAATACATTTTTTTTATAAAGATTTTGACTTTTAATTTTTTTTTTAAAGATCCATTGAGAGCTTATAATAAGACAAACATTTACCTTAAAAAGTTGAATTCTTTTGGTTGTATCACATATATAATATTTTTTTAATTGGACAAAAGATATAATATGTTTATGAATTATGAGTTAAAAATTACGATTTTTGCTTTTATAATTTATAATTTACTATTATTTTAATATCTATGGTTTATAATTTTTTTCTTATTTTATCTTTATACATAAAAATAGCAATTAATATCAAGATATAAATTGTAACTATAAAAATAAAAAACGCAATTTCTAAAATATATTCCAAAATCAAAAAAGGAAAAGAGGTGAAAGCTGAGCTGAGGCTGAGACTATATTCACGCATTTCAATGTCTGTAGTTACTTCCTGGGTCCATTTAAGAATTAAGACGGCTCACTCTCTCTACGAAGAGCCGACCAACGCAACCGGATTTCAACTCCGGCGACTGCAGAATACACAGAGAGAGAGAGAGAGCGACAGCATCGTGAATCCTTGATCGATGGCTCTCCGGACAGCAATCACCAGACGAATCCTGAGCTCGAGCTCGGCTGTACATGCCACGCGATCCATGTCGTCGTGGTGGAAAAACGTTGAGCCTGCACCGAAAGATCCTATTCTTGGTGTGACTGAAGCTTTTCTCGCAGATCCGAATCCTGATAAAGTTAATGTTGGAGTTGTAAGTCTCGTCTCTCCATTTTCACTCTCACGAAGGATCCTGATTTTTACCGATCAAACCCGAAGTTTGTTCCTGTTTAGATAATTTAGTTGTTATTTTGTTCTTTAATGTGTTGATTATCAGGGAGCTTATCGTGATGATAACGGGAAGCCTGTAGTTCTTGATTGTGTCAGAGAAGCCGAGAGACGGATTGCCGGAAACATGAACATGTGTGTTACACCAGCTACTCCTTTTTGATTTGGGTATCGATTTCATTCGTCAATTTTATTTAATAATCCAGGATAGAAATAAAAAATTCGGGCAGATCAGAAGAATTATGCTATAGTGATTTATGCCCCATGCAGAGAAAGTTGTACAGTGCACTTCTCCTCTAGAGTTGTTAATTTCAGTTTTGGGAGAAGGGTTTTCCATAAAAACTTATGGGTTATTTTTTGAGTAACTAATTCTTGCTTAGAAGTAATGCTAACATTGATTTACATACTTACATGATATGATGCTTCATGCTTATCAATTTTTAGTGGTCCGATCCTTATCTTTTTTACCCTCTTTTATTTGCTTTTTTCAAGATAATAAGATTCCTTTATTGTCCATGGCTTTTGATCACCATCTATATCGTTTCTAAGGTATTATGAGTGGTATTTGTTTTTCTTGGTGATTGTAAAGGAGGGTCAGACTTCTGAGTGGGTACCCGTTAGGCGAGCTATTAGTGCTACACCCATATTCCATTATCATGGACTCCGGTCACATAAATATGCTGACTAGATGCATCTTTGGAGCATTTTTTTCCAGCAGCTTTGTTCAAGTTTTAAGCTCTTTGGCATCATCCAAGTCTGAATGCATTTAATTTAATATGGTTGCTAGAGGGAAGTATCTGATTGAAGCTTTGGTTAGATGGATGTATTTAGAGGTTCTTATTCATGGAACGTTTCAAGATGCTGGTATTGATTAATTGGAAAAGCTATATCTACTTTGTGAATATGAGGACTTGAATGGTGTTCAGGGATCCAAGCTTTTTCTTGTATAAATTACCCACGTTTTTCCATGAACACTGAATTTTATGAATTTTCTAATCAAGTGAACTGAAGTTCACTAACTTTGCTAATGTTTTCATTATATTTTTGTAGTTTGATTATTGTTTAACTATATCCAACTTCAGGGAGTATCTTCCAATGGGAGGAAGCAACAAGATGGTTGAAGAAACACTGAAGTTAGCCTATGGGGATGATTCTGACTTGATCAAAGACAAGCGAATTGCAGCGGTACAAGCTCTGTCTGGCACTGGTGCCTGCCGACTTTTTGCAGACTTCCAGAAACGCTTTTCCCCTGATTCTCAGATCTATATTCCAGTCCCTACGTGGGCCAAGTAAGTACTTTGATCTCTGCTCAAGTCTATACTAGAACTTCTTACATAAGATTTGGTTTGAAGTTTGAATGTGACTAGCTATATATTTTTTGTTGCGATCTAATTTTGTTGGCTTATGATGTGAATTTCAGTCACCATAACATTTGGAGAGATGCTAATGTACCACAAAGGACATTCCATTATTACCATCCAGAATCAAAAGGTCTTGATTTTGCCTCACTGATGGATGATGTTAAGGTATCAAGAATACTTTGATTTGTGGACTTGTTTAAGGAGCATAATCTCTTTTGGAAATAATTATTGATGCTTCTTCATTGTTTTCTTGCCTGTTGCTTAGAATGCACCAAATGGATCATTCTTTTTGCTGCATGCTTGTGCTCATAATCCTACCGGAGTTGATCCTACAGTGGAACAATGGAAAGAAATATCTTACCAGTTTAAGGTCGACAAGCCTAGCCTTGATTGATACTTGTATCTCCTCTATTTAAGTCATTAGTCTTAAAATGTTACTATCTTCAGGTCAAAGGTCATTTTGCTTTCTTCGACATGGCCTATCAAGGATTTGCAAGTGGAGATCCAGAGAGGGATGCAAAATCCATCAGGATTTTCCTTGAAGATGGTCATTTAATTGGATGCTCTCAATCATATGCCAAGAATATGGGTCTTTACGGCCAGAGAGTTGGCTGCCTTAGGTGATTTCTTTATTACTTATTTGTATGCATGAGCCTCTAATTTGAATTCTTTAAAATCGTCATTCGATCTCTTGAAAGTTGGAAGTCTTATTTATTTAGGAAATGACCTCTTTTTGCTCTCACAAGGACAACAACATAGAACCAACTTTGCACAAGTTTAAAGTACTCTTTAATCACTTGACAAAATGGCAGCTCACTTCAGGAGTAGAGGTTGTTATTGTAGTTGCAATTCATTATCTTTTTGTTGGAATTTAGGCTACCGGCACACTCTTTTTATTAACTATAAGAATATACTGTTTTTACTCATGGAGAGTGCTTGTAGTTTATGCCGGTAGACCTTCAACAACCTTTTTCTTGGCTATGATAATCGAACTCCCTGGCCATAGGGTCTAAAGGAAGACAACTAATGAACATTCAACCACTAGTGAGACATGAGCTCATTAAAACAGAAAAATACAGTTCGTGAAAAGCTTATTTCTGTCATTACCTGTACCTTTAACTTTAAAGTGTCCATTGCACTTGAGGTTTCTCTTTATTGTGCACAAGCTCTATTAATCGTTTTAGAGTCTTCTTTAAAGTTATTCCAGAAACTTTTAATCAGAACCCTACCACTCGATCTGATTTTTATTACCCTAAGCTGAAGTATCTGATTTGATTCCTTACTATTTGACATTAGTAATTAACTTTAATTGTTAAAGAACTTCTAAAAGGACTAAAGTGTTACGGACTTACTTTGATGTATGTCCCCAGTATCAAGTGTGGTTATCTATTTGAATTAAATAGTAATTGTTTATGTTTTGCATAGCTGTGATACAGATAATCAAGTAATTTTTCCATCCGCTAGCATTAGTCCAAGTGTGCAAAATGTTGGTGTCAAATGCAGTAAGAAAAGTGAACATGTGTATAGAAAATGTATGGCTTTCCACAGTTTGTTTCCTATGAATACTTCAAATAAATGCTAGAGAACATATTATTAAAACGGTCACACGCTCATCTAGTTATTTGCCTCTGATTTTCTCGAGTGCCTTATGACCGGACTATATGTCTATATGATCTTTGCAATCCTTCTGCTTGATGCAAAATTCTCTCTGTAGTTTGGTATGTGAAGATGAAAAACAAGCTGTGGCTGTGAAAAGTCAATTGCAGCAACTTGCGAGACCCATGTACAGTAATCCACCCGTTCATGGTGCTCTTATAGTTTCAACCATCCTTGGTGATCCAGAGCTAAAGCAATTGTGGCTCAAGGAAGTCAAGGTACTCACAGTCCTTTTAATCTCTTATTTAATTGGAAGTCAAGATACTCTTGACCCTTTTATCTCTTATTTACTTGCTCTTTCTACCTCTTTTTATCACAATTAAATTTCTGCTCTATAAAATGGCATAATAGTTAGTCTAATGGGTGTGTGGGTAATGGCATTTTGTGATGTGGTAAAACATGGGTGTGACATACACTTGTACACATAAATAACTTGATAAAGGAACATCCTTGAAGTATTCCCGTTCATGGCAAAAGAATTCATCAAAATACATTTTGTTCGTATTTTGGAGGCCATATTGTTCGCGTAAGCAACAAAGCCTAGGAAGTTAACAGTAAAAAAAGCGTGTAGAGGAGACAAATACGGATGAACAAGGTTAGTAAGAGTGACATCAGAATAAAATTTCTGATCTATAAAATGGCATAAGATCTAGATAGCATGATAGCTAGCTTGTCTAATGGGTGAAGACAATTAGGAAACAACATGTCAACGTTCTAATTTAGAGTCGGAATGCAAATATTTAACACCTTGGGTACTTTTTCTCCTTTAAACCATCTTTTCACTTTGCAGGGTATGGCTGACCGTATCATCGGAATGAGAAGTGCTCTTAAGGAAAACATTGAAAAATTGGGTTCTCCCCTTTCATGGGAGCACATAACTAAACAGGTAATCATACCAACTTCTCCTTCAGTCATATCATATTCATCTGTTTAGTTCTGATGACCCAAATCACATTTTGTATGGTTAAACAGATTGGCATGTTCTGCTATAGCGGGATGACCCCAGAACAAGTTGATCGCTTGACAAATGAATACCATATTTATATGACCCGCAATGGCCGTATCAGGTAATGCCAACACCCCAGATAAAAAAAGTCATTCAATTTATCAATTTCACTTGTTTTTGAGTTGAAATTTAATCGACATATATATATGGTACAGTATGGCAGGGGTGACAACCGGCAACGTTGAGTATTTGGCCAAAGCTATCCATGAAGTTACAAAAGGTGCTTAATTTACAGACATACATATTGCATTGAAGTTGAGATTACTTACAAGATTTTGGTTAAAACTAGAATCAGGTATCATCCTTTGCTTTTTGAAAGAAAATAAAGAGGCCATGAGTTATGGTTGTTTGTAGTTGGATAGTGTATTGATTGTCTTGTTATGGTAGTGAATTTTTGACTAGTTTATTTTATGGAAGCACATAAAAAGTTATATGTTGGTAGCGGTTAAAGCTGGATTCATTTGTTCGATTAAATCATATCCGTTACGGTGATGTCTATGTTCTATAATTTGTTTTTTTTATAACTTTGGATGTCTGGGCCAATTTGTGCGTACCTTGACTTATTCATGGGGCCCTAAAGATAATGGTCTGGAAAATTCTTGGTGACCTTGAGGAGATTTGAATTCGCGACCTCGTCTCCAAGGTCTTGTCTTTATTTACCGGTTTAGCCTGTCTTAAAGGTTATGTTTAACCATAAGGGTGGTGCCTGATTGGTTTGAGCTTGGCTCCAAAGGTCAAAAGTACCAGGAGGTTCTAGGTTCAAATCCAAGGAGGAATAAAAATCCTCTTGTGGCCACGGAGGTTCAAATGCAGTGACTCCAGGCTATCTGCAAAACAGGTGGTCGTCCTGGGATTAATTGGCTCGCATAGCGGGTTGAATATTTAGGTTAATAAAAAAAAGGGTTATGTTGTAGAATTTGTTGTGGTACTACATTTGTTGTTCAAGGAAAGATAATCTTAGAGGTGGTGAAAGCTGGTCCTTTTGACCGGTGATAGCCGGTTCAGGTCTTTATTTCCCGTTCGTCAATTGGTTAGGAGCTGTGTGGATGGTTTTTCATCAAGTCATGTATGGATAAAGCTGTTGTGTATAAATCAGGAAGATTTTTGTTTAGGAGAGTTTTTTTTCATAGATGAAATGAGCCTTATTTTTTAATTGGGAGGGGCGGGTTTAAAAAAAACCTTGACTTTCTACGTAAATCTCCCCCTAGAATAAGCTAACTCTCAATAATTTAGAGATGTGTTTACCAGGTTTGTTTGGTAAACTTGATCAATCCGAGTACAATTTTCTTAGCAAACGATCAGATGTTCCACGAGCACACAAAGCTCTCTCGAGCCTCAACTTACTATACAAGTTCAAACACGACCCATGATCGTAAAGCGAAAGAACCAACATATACTCGACAAAGGTCTTTTACAACAAGAGAGTGATGATACAGATGTATTGTGTTTTACCTACAACAAAACTGAACCAAATTCAAAAATGGTATACTGACTAAATGTATAATGATTGCGGGATATAGCGTTTCTCCGTGGAAAACCCGAATGAAAACAAAATCGTAGTGCATACACGGGTGGACGATGTACATGGTCCATACTCTTGTTTACTTGTGATGATCAAATAACTCGACTTTTCTCCATCTTCGTCAAAAATATGTAGAATCATAGTGATATAGTACCTATGAGCTTTGAATCGTTTAGGCTAATTGTCGAAATCTACCTTTGGCAAATAACGAGCATGAAACTACGTATTTCCATCCGTCAAAGTACCCGTAGATTTGGCTGATTGAGCTACGGAATGTTTCCTACAACCGAAGTAAAGATTATGAAGATGCGATTTTACTTGCTAACAAGCGTGAATTTGGATTGGAATTTTGAAAGATAAAACACAAAATATTCCATTTTTGCGGGACAACCCAAAATAGAAAACGTTGCTTTTTTTGGAGCAGATGGAGTAACACATTGGGTTTTGTAACGAGATAAAAGTTCAAATGAGAACTGTAAATGTTTTTTAGAATCTAAAAACCAACTATTTTCATGAGTTATTCATATATTATTCATTATGAATATCACTATATTCATTGTGAATATCTACCACAATATTTATCATCTCAAAATATTATAGTTCTCATTTGAACCTGACCATTTCCACGTAATAAACTAAAACAAGAAAGAAAAAAGAAATCTTACATATGATGGGAGCAGTGTGATCAAGGGCTAGTTTCCTCATCATCTGCCTCCTCGAGAATAGTGTATTTCGCAGTGATATTGGTTCGAGATTCGGGCAACTCACCTACACCGAGTTTTTCCTTCTGCACCTTCTCATACCTGATACATCACAAAATACATATATACACGTATGAAAATGGTGAGGATTCATTTATTATGATCTGGATATTTATAGAATGATCACAGTTCATTCATTATGATCAATGCTTTAGATTAGGAAACAATCGAGAAGCAAATATTCATTAGACTAGATGGACGGTTAAGATTGGTTTGTATGAATTAAAAGGTTTGCTAATGATCGGGACTACACACACACACAAAAACTACAACGAATGTTATAAGAAACCACTCAAGAATGGCCCACAACCAAACCAAACCAAACAAACTCCGTCTATCCCACACCAAGTTAGGGTCTGATGTACACAAACCTTACCTGTCTGAGACAGAGAGACTGTTTCCGAGAAGACCCCTAACTTGTGAAAAAGGTCAACAATGGCCCATAAAACACATAACGAGTGATTCTAACGTGATAAACGAATGTTGTTAAAGATTTGTAAATTCGTGACGTGAGAGATGAGTGTCTGATTTTTCTGATCACTTACTTGTACCAGTTGAATAGACTCACACCAAGCATGATCGTAACAAGACCCGCTCCTTTCAGCCATGTAAATTCGTCGTGGAAGTAAAATACCGCTACCTAAACATGCATAACAAAATGATTAACAAAATAAAAAAAGAAATTTACATCATTAGCATCCTCAATATGTGGATAAACTAATCACCATAGTGCATTAACTTCGATTATCAAATACAAACCAAACCAAACCAAACCAAACCAAACCAAACCAGTAAATCCCATGCAGAGGTAGGGTCTAGAGGGTAGGATGTACACAGATATTTCCTCTGTTAGAAGGTAATTCTCCTAAATAACCCGATAATAATGCACGTTCGCTTGGCATTTCATGTTCCAACTGTTTTTTTCTCTCGAAATGGTCAGAATCCATGCTCCAAATTGCATAAAGAATTGAATTTTTTTTGGGAAAACAAAGTAAATGCTGCTAACGAATGAAGTAGTGTCGAAACACTAAAGATTGCATCATACCAGTATAGTGACGGCTTCCTTTACAACTCCAGCTATGGTCACCGTTACTGCACTTGTTACTGAAACAAGGATGTACTCCGTTAAAACCTGCAATAAGTATGACGGGCAGAGTTCCTTAACGGCGTTAACACTTTTTATCTAGAAAACTTTCATGGTCCTACTCCTATAGATACGAGTACAATGATAGAATAAAGAAAAGATTGGTCAAACTGAAATTCACAAGAAATCGGCAATGAGTAATAGGAGTTCAGGTAAACTTCCATTTAGAAACCATAAACATTTTGATAACCATCAGAACCAACTATTCATGATGAATGTACATAAACATACATGAATACCCATTCATCATGACTATCATGCATATTCATTACGAATAGCAGGTTCTCACTGTCTCAAACTATTTACGTCTCTCAAATGAACCCGATAATCTAGTAACATTGGTCTCCTAAAGATCTACATAAACTGAAAACTTAGAATCTTCAATCCCCTATCGTTCATATGGCATAATAGAAATACAAATTTATCGCTAGATATTGATATGCAAATAAAAAATAACGAATCTTCATGTCTCCATTCAAACCCTTCGAGTGTATCAAGAACTAAAAAACTATCATATTACAGAAAATGGCAGGAGCAAATGATAAAGCAGAAAACTTTACCATAAAAAAGGCGAGCGTTCCCCCAAAAAGCATCAAGAAGCAACTCCGCATGATATGCCATGAGCTATCAAAGTAACTGCTACTTCTGAATTCGTCCCAGGGATCCAAAGCCAGAGAGAGAAAAGCCGTTAACAGGGCCATTACAGGAGTTACATAGCTCATCAAGGTCAGGGGATTTTTCAAACCTGTTAAAGAAACAAGAAAATCTAAAAATACATAACAACATTTTTGTTTATGAGTCGTACCACTGTAAACTAACTGCATAAAAGTCAATCCTCCAAAATCACAAAGACAGCAAACCAAATTAAACCAAACGAGCCTAGTATATAATTATATATCTGAAGAAGTGCTTTTTAAATAAATGCCCTTCCGACAAGATTCTACGCATTCTTGTGTATCAAAGGGACATTCATCTGTTAAACAGTGACATCCTCAAACTTGTCAGAAGATCATGGATTTAAAGAAAAAACTTGACAGGTCATTTAGCCATATATGCATCTTTGTTTGAATACCTCATTTAACACAATAATAAATACTCGAAATTGCAAGGAAAACACTTACCATAGACCTCTTTCTTTAGGTTGATAAGGAATCAGACCAATTTGTTGTCCAACCGAGCAAAAACAGAAACATGTATAAGTAAAAAGAGAAACATTCAAGAAATGAACTGAGTAATGACAAACAAAATCAAAGAGGGAGGTTCAAGAGAGAACACGGAAAAAAAGAACCAAGGGACCCTCTATCAACCGTTGAATCGAAAAAGTAGATGGCCAGATTCGAATGTAGACCCCCCCTGTAATCATGGATTTAGTTTCGGCAAAATGTAACCTTCCCTATTATTCACAACAGTTGGACTAAAATAGATGGATGATTCAGATGGGTTCCCTTGTTCTCCTTTTCTTTAGTGTTCTCTCTTGAACCCACCCCTAAATCATATTGTATAATCATCATAATCAGAGATAAGACGTACCTGAAGAAGGATCTGGGTCATGCTCCAACGGAAACCAGACATAACAGCCGCAAGCATAACAAAAATGAAACCCCATAAATCAAACTCGGTCTCTCTTGCAACTGTAATCATGATGATGATAGATGTCAGGACCAAGAAGAGATTATTACAGGCATTCACATACACATATGCAACTTCCTAGTGAAATATATTGGGTTCGTTTGATTTGGTTTCAGTGCAATTTATAGATGTAACCAGCATATGTATGGATCATGGCAGACACACAAATCGGTAAGTGATTCCCGTCATTAAGGAATGAAACAAATTATTACCTCATTTCAAACTAATTAGAATGTAAGGTGGCGTTTGGTTCGTTGGAATCGGACGGAACTTGAAGGACTTGGAATAGTCAATTCCATTGACCAAATTCCAGTCATACATAGTTCATTCTTTGAGTTTTGTTAAGGAATTCGGATTCCACATATGGTGGAATGTAAATTCCTTCAGTTCTAGCAAGAAATTCCAATTCCTTCGTCCCACCTTTTAAGAAAAACTAATGCTCTAATATTTACTCAATCTCATTCCATCTCACCATGATGGTTGTCATCACCACCATCGTCATCGTTGCCACCGTCAAGTTGCCACCACCACCACCATTACCACCACTGCTAGCACGGTAGCACCACTACCATTGACACTACTACCGCCTCCACACCACCACCGCTATTATATTCAACGAACCAAACAAATAGATTATAAAGGGACGTTTTGGTAATTTATCACTAAATTATTATAATTCTGAATTAATATTTAGCGAACCAAGCAAACAAAATCTAATTCTTTGACAGATTCCATTCCAATTCATGCAAGAAGCGCATGGTCAAAACCAATTAAATCCTATTCCAATTCCTTTGACAGATTCCAATTCTGATTGATTCCATTATGTGAACCAAACACCACCTAAGTTGTCATTGCCTATCAGTTATACGAATTTACCTAAAGAGGGACCAATGTTGATAGTTCAAATTGGTAGTAGCAGTTATTTGCCTAAAAAATATCATACCTGTTAATAAAACCCCAGAGGATATTATCAACATAATTCCCAAAAGTTTAAAGCTTGGAGACTCCAACCTACACAAGAATTGGTAGAAATCAGGTTACCATAATCAAGACTTGTAAAAAAGTATAGAAAATGCATAAATACTTTAGGAAAGCAGGAAAGCTTTTACTAAACAGTCATATGGACTGTAAAGAAAGTTGGGGTTTGTTATGACCCTTGGTCGTAGCTCAACTGGTTAGGCCTTGGGTTTGCTCCCCATTGGTCATGGGTTCGAGTCACCTCAGGGCCATTGGAGGTTGCCCAGCTGTTAACTTCGCCACCGGTTATGCTTATACCACATATATTTTCTATAAGACTATAACCCGACCAAACCAAATGAGCCCAGTATATCCTACCCGAAGGTGTGGCGTCTGCGTAGGGTGGGATGCACACAGACCTGACCTCTACCCTCAAAGAGTAGAGTGGCTATTTCCATGTAGACCCTCAGCTTGTGAGAAATGTGTGAAATAAATAGAAAGTTTCCCCAAAGAAATAGAGGAAATAGCTTCAAATTTCTTCTATGTTCCCTCCATTCCATAAGAATTAATTCAAAATTAATAAAATAATTATAGCTTTTAACACTATACTAGCCATGATTATTGGATAGTTTAATGTGTTGTCATTTGTTTACAAGAAATCAAATAAAGTCATCATATCTAGAGTTGATGAGGAATCTATTTGGCTCTTAAAGTCAAACCAGGTCACTTATCATGGAAGAGAGAGAGTAATACCCTTTCCTACATTTTGATGTAATAATCAGATTTTGTTTTCAACCAATAATAATTGCATTAACATAGTAATCCTTTCAACATTTATAAATAATATTACCTGAATGCAAATGCAAATATTAGGAGAAATATAGGAGCAGCAGATTTACACTGCAAAATGAAAGAGGAATTTAGTAAAATAACGCAGCTTTTCCCGTAGTATATGATCTATTAGGATCCAAGAGCAAAATGGGAGCAGGATGGTTCATTTGTTTGATCCAAAAGCCAACCGTTTCAAAATGGAGATAAGAGAGAAAGAGGACCAACCATGGTAGCAAATGTAACAGAGATGAAAACAAGTGATGCATTGCTTAAGTTGATATCCAGTGCTGTTCCGAGAGCTGTTGGTACAACTGTGAAAGTCAAAGTGGATCTGTAGCATTAGTTATTAGAGGAGTTAATGAAATGTGACCAAGAGGCGGGAATAATTAAAGCTTCTAATTGGTTGCATTAAACCGTAGGAAATAAAAAGGATATAAATGGAAGAGCAGAAAAGAAACTATTCTCAGTACAGGTCTTCCATAAGACACCCCAAGTAAGGGGCCGTTTGGTTGGTTTTCCATTAAATCCTGTATGGATAAAGTCGTTTGTGTTGATTGATCTGTATGCATAGATTGGGAAGGTTGTTTCATAGATGGAAGAAGTGTGATTTTTAATTGGAAGGGGCAGGTTTGGAAAAAATTCAACTTTCTGCATAAAGCTTCCCCCTAAAAGCTTACTGAATAAGCCACTTTCTATATCATTTAGCCACTACAAAACAGTCATGTATAGCTGACCGAATAAGTTGTGAGTCCCGTTAAGCTCATTAAGCTGCTAACAAACATGCCCTAAGAAAGACACCAAACCAAACAGACCCAGTAAGTTTTTTAGATTGGGGGGGTGTATGCTGGTGGCTGTATACGTGAAGACCCCCCGCTTGTGCAATGTTTGCAGAAAGAAAGGGTAAAACTTGCTCAAAAAGAAATGTAAATGTGGAGAAAGAACATACGAATAACTTAAAGAAAGAAAACTGAACGACGGTGATAAAGAATGGAAAAAAGTTGAAAGTAAGCAACACCACTCGAAACAGACAAACAAACAACAAAGAAAACATACAGACAGAAGCAAGTACAAGAAAACATAACCGAGGTAGGAATAACTACAGACCCCTAGTCTAACCTAGGACCTACAAGATCTAACTCAAATGTACAAGAATTTAACATCTGCAGAAGATAGTACCTAGAGATAGAATGTTGAAATGCAAATTCATTACAATCTTTAAATGCTTACATAATAGAACAAGAGCAAGAATTGCGGAAGATGCTTTACCTCTCATAAAGTAGTCCTTCCATGACATAGTTACAGTTGGTTTGAATCTTTGGGACCAAAAGCAAGTGATGGCCTTCGAAAAAACAGCTTGCATTGCAAAATGAATTGTGTTCATTAACAAAGGAGCTGGGAATCTTCCCATATCATCTCCCAGTAAAGTCTTATTATACCTAAAAATCATTAAGAAACACATTCTAAGACTGCAATTCAAGATGGCATCATCCCTAACTAAATTTTATAGTCAAATGATAAAAAGATGACTTACAATGTCAAGAATGTACTGAATGTGTACCAAACAAGTATGAAAAATAATGTCTTGAGTACATCAGCAGCAACAATGGGGTTCTTGGAGCTTGTTAGAACAGCTTTATGTTTATCAACATAATTGGTATCTGGGTATTTCAGCCCTCCATCAGAATCATTTTCAATATCAAAAGAAGCACACTTCTCTTTTATATTTGCTCTCCTAGGGCTAAGAGTAGAACCCATTTCCGCATTGCTACTACCGTTCATCTTTACACCACTGAACTGAGGATCTACTATGCTTGTTTTCAGTTTTCACCACATTCTAAATTATCTTTGTGGAATGCAACTTGACAACTTCCACAAACTCTTGCAACTGGAAATGGAGTCTTCTTCAAATGCATTCAGGGAGAACAACTTGGATTCCAAGAAACGGAAACTGAATTCTTTAATCTCTTCAATCTGGTTTCTGAACTATGGTCAGAGCCATCAAAGCCCCAACCACATCATGTTCACTTCAACAACTTAGATTCCACACTTAAAAGCACATCAATAGCCTATATTGCTATGTCAAACCTAAACCCTCAGATCTTAGCCAAATTCAAACCGAACCCACGAATCCAAGTGATCGAAATCTTGTAAATATGACCTGCTTTGATCAAATGCTCAATCAGAAATCCAAAAGGGAGCTCATAATTTCCCATATCTAACATAGATTGCTTTCTTATTGGAGTTGAAAAGCATAAACATCAAGAAATCAAATCAAGAAGTGTGTACTCCAGCATCTAAACCATCATCAAAGTTCAATAAAGAAAACATACCTGGGTACAATATTGGTGGAACCCAGTTTCTATGATCCACCGACGGAATTCGTGGAAGTTATAAGAGAGATCTTGAAATGGGTTAGAGAAAAAAAGAGGCCTCTGAATATTATGGGTTATTAGGTTTGTTGTCAACGTCTTTTCTTGTTCCCAAGTGGCTCTCTCTCAAAGTAAAGAGGATGGATGGATCCTTTCAGTAAATTTCAAGTCAAGATTTTGAAAAAAGAACCTTTCTTTGGATAAAGATGTTGTCTGAAATTTACCGAATCTGAATCTGAATCTGTCATCATGATGTCCATTTACGATCTAAAACTAAACTAAACCCCAAAGATTTGGGACTGATTGGGAATTTGTAGGCCAAGATTTTCCACCCCGTGAATCTTGAGATCATGATAAAACCGGTTATAAACCCAAGATTAGTCGGTTAAAACCAAGATTAGGGTTGCAAGTTACGAGGCACAACGACTTCATTAAACAAGGGTAGTACCAATTTTGATTTTAAAATGGTAAGTAATATTTTGCTTATATTTTGTACATGATTTTCTAGCAATTTCGTTTCCAAAGTATATGTATCTGAATTTGATGATTTTTAGTATTTTTTTGTTATTTTATTGAGATTTTATATACTATGTGTTTTGGTTCTTCTTACTTGCAATCATCGAGAATACCAAAACTGTTGAGAACTCAAAAACTGATCACACAAAGATTAGTAGTTGGAAGAGATTGCTTTATTAAAGAAGCTATGAAAGGCTTTTATAGCCAATACAAAACAGGAAGCAAAACTGAAAARAGAAAATCAGGGAGTTACCCACAAGACTAGGACTTCCCCAAATACTAGGACTTATTGGACTAATTCAAAATAAAATAGATAAATACTCTTTGACCATCAATCCCTCCCTTGAGCTAAGCATCTGCATTTAGCTTATTGCACCAACTTCCATTACTCCGAGCATGCTTCGAAACTTTTCAAACTGGTCCAGCTTCAACGGTTTCGTCATAACATCTGCAACTTGGTTCTTTGAGCTACAGAAGCTCAACTTTATAACCCCATCACTTACCAGCTCTCTAAGGAAATGAAACCTTACTCCGATATGCTTACTCTTTCCATGGAACTTTTGAGAGTTGAATAGTAGAACTATTATCACAATGAAGCACAATACTACTTTTCTCTTCGACTCCAATCTGTTCCAAGATTCTCCTTAGCCAGACGCAGTGACATGCACAGAAGGCYGCTGCAATGTACTCGGCTTCGGTGGTTGACAGACTCACCACCGGCTGTTTCTTTGAAGACCATGAGACCGCTCCCGACCCCATCATGAATACGAAACCGGAGGTGCTCCTTCCATCATCTAGATCGCCAGCATAACTGCTATCTGTATAAGCTRCAAGACCTTTGTTGTATTCTCCCTTCTTGTAATAAACACCAAACTCGATACTCCCTTTTATGTATCTTAATATTCTCTTTGCTGCCAACCAATGCGATACCTTGGGGCGAGCCATGAACCTGCTGATTAAGCTTACTCCATACGTCAAATCAGGTCTGGTCACARTGAGATACATGAGACAACCAACTACTTGCTTGAACATAGTAGCATCAAATTCATCACCTGCTTCATCTTTTGTTAAAATTGTCCCTGGAACAATAGGATTCTTTACTGAATTGCTATTTTCCATGCCAAACCTTGCTAGAATTTCACGAGCATATCTCCTTTGGCAGATGAAAATTCCAGCTGCACTTTGTATGACCTMTACTCCAAGGAAATACCTCATCCTTCCTAAATCGGACATATCGAACTCCAACATCATTGAGTTTTTAAACTCATCACACATCTTTTTGTTATTCCCAGTGTAGATTAGATCATCTACATAGAGACTAACTATCAATATTTTACCTTCTKTTGACTTAGTGAACAAAGTGTGTTCACTCGTACATCTTTCAAAACCTTCTCGTGCAAAGTACGCCTCAATCTTACTGTACCAGGCCCTTGGAGCCTGTTTAAGGCCGTATAATGCCTTTTTCAACCTGTACACTTTGTCTTCTTCTCCTTTCTTTACAAAACCTTCTGGCTGCTCGACAAACACTTCTTCTTTGAGCTCACCRTGAAGAAAAGCACTTTTTACGTCGAGCTGAAACACTTCCCAATCGCTTTGTGCCGCTAACGCAAGTATTACCCAAACGGTATCCAATCTTGCAACAGGTGCAAACACTTCCGTATAATCCACTCTGTATCGTTGTGCATACCCCTTAGCCACCAACCTCGCTTTAAACTTTTGTACTTCCCCTCTTTCATCAAGTTTGGTTTTGAAAACCCACTTGACTGGAATAACTTTCACTCCTTTCGGTAAGACTGTTAATTCCCATGTATTGTTTCTTTCTATGGCTTTTATTTCTGTAGCCATTGCTTCTCGCCACTTCTTACTTTTGTTTGCTTCTGTAAAGAGATAAGGATCACTTTCGCCTTGGACCATTAACATCATCATGTTTAACTCTGCTTCCTCTTCCGACAAGCCTGCCCCAGTCTCGTAATCTGACATCCATGTTGGTTCTTTTCTGTTTCGTGCACCCCTCCCTTCAACCGGACCCTYCTGGTCGTTATTCGGTTCATCTGTTGGGATGCTGCTGCTGCTACTGTCTGATTCTCTACTTTGCTCAGCTTCTTCTTCCGTATTACTATCATCGTCATCTTCCAATGTGAGCCTATTAGCTTTGTGYTCCGTTCCAGTTCTRCCCCAATCCCAACCTTTGTCTTCTTCAAATATGACGTCTCTGCTCACCACAATCTTCTTCGTGACCGGATCAAACAATCTATAGGCTTTAGATTCATCGCTAACACCGAAGAAAACACATATTCTGCTTTTATCATCCAACTTGCTTCTCTTTTGGTCTGGTACATGAGCATGGGCTAGACACCCAAATACTCGAAAGTATTCGACCGTAGGCTTCATGGAACTCCACTCTTCTTCGGGCGTTTTGTTATCCAAGGCTGCAGTTGGGCACCTGTTMTGCACGTGCACGYACCACTTTACTGCCTCGGGCCAGAATACTTTGGGAACTTGCCTCTCGTGTAGCACGGTCCTTATAGCATTCATGATCRTTCTGTTCTTTCTCTCGGCAACGCCGTTCTGCTGGGGTGTGAACGCTGCTGTTAATTGTCTGTTGATCCCATGATTTTTGCAAAATTCCTCAAACTCGTTTGAGGTGAACTCACCTCCCCTGTCTGTCCTTAAGCAAATAATTTTCTCACCACTTTCTTTTTCAACACACATCTTATAATTCTTAAAGTTAGCAAATGCTTCCGATTTTTCATGTAACAGATAAACCCAAGTTTTAMGACTAAAATCATCGATAAAACTTAAAAAATACCTTTTGTTACTGTTCGAAATAGGTCTGATCGGACCACAAATATCCGCATGTACTAGTTGAAGCATCTTTGAGGCCCTCCATGAACTCTTATGTGGTATCGATTCTCTATGTTGCTTTCCAGTTAAACAAGTAGTACATATCATYTTTGGGGACTTTACYGGAGGTAAGCCGATCACCATTTTCTTATAAGAAAGTGTTCTAAGCCCCTTGTGGTTGAGGTGCCCAAAACGACAATGCCACAGGTGCGCTTCTTGTTCGGAAACAACATCTGCCTGCAAACACATGTTCTTCGGTGCCATAACAGCTAGCACATAGAACATTCTGTTTCCACTCATGGTATACGCATGATTAACCCTCTCATAGGGTGAAATATTTTGCAAGTTCCATGCTGGATTAAAATCGATAGCCCCTTTTCTTGAAGTTGTCCAACACTAAGTAAATTATTTTTCAATTCAGGAACAAAATAAACATCTGATATTTCCTGAATAATCCCATTCACTTGCATCCTTACGCTACCTTTTGCGACAACCTCCATCTTTGTATCATTGCCGAGTTTCACGGTTCGGAAAACACCTTCTTCCAGCTCCGAGAACCAATCTTTATTTCCCGTCATGTGATTACTGCATCCAGTATCAAGGAACCAGACATCTTCTTTCTTAGTTTGACCCATTTCTACATGAGCCATCAACACGATCTCCTCTTCTTCATTTGTCTCGACATAATTTGCTTTCTCCAAATYGGGACACTCGTAYTGAAAATGGCCCAACTTATGACAGTGGTAACACTCGATCAAAGATCTGTTCATGGGYTGTCTTCCTCTTCCTCTGCCTCTGCCTCGTGCTCCTCTGAACATGCCTCTACCCCCTCTTCCTCTACTTGGTCTTTCATCAACCGTCATTTTCAGCACCTGTTCCTCAAGAAGGTACCCTTGCATCCTTTGTTCATGAACAAGAAGACTCCCATGTAGTTCATCAATAGTTAAAGTACTCAGATCATTAGACTCCTCGATGGAGCAAACTACATAATTAAATTTGGATGTCAATGATCTGAGTWTCTTACTTACAACTGTACTTTCCTCCATGWCTTCGCCGTTCGACTTCATCTTGTTCACTACAGTTAAAGTCCTCCCCAGGAAAGTRTCTACTTTCTCTCCTTCTGCCATGGCTAGCAACTCGAATTCCTTTCTTAGTGCTTGAAGTTGTGCCCTTTTCACCTTTGTGGATCCTTGGTACTTCTTTCGCATCGACTCCCAGATTGACTTCGATGTCTTCTTGTCAAGAATCGTTTCCAATACCTCTCTGTCAATGGCTTGGAATAAGTAGTTCTTGACCTTCAGATCCTTGAGTTTGGCTTCCTCTATACTCTTTCTTTGCGCCTCACTAACCGCTCCACTCCCGGTTGCTGACGGAATCCCTTCTTCCACCATATTCCACATTTCTTTGCTCCGCAGGAAGTTCTCCATCATCATCGACCAATAGTCGTAGTGGCCATCAAATTTCGGAATGGCTGGCTGCACGAACCTATCTGAAGTTGAAGTTGACATCCTGAGCTTTCTGAGTTTACCCTAAACCTCACACACTATCAAGGCCCTTGTTTGGCTYTGATACCAATTGTTGAGAACTCAAAAACTGATCACACAAAGATTAGTAGTTGGAAGAGATTRCTTTATTAAAGAAGCTACGAAAGGCTTTTATAGCCAATACAAAACAGGAAGCAAAACTGAAAAGAGAAAATCAGGGAGTTACCCACAAGACTAGGACTTCCCCAAATACTAGGACTTATTGGACTAATTCAAAATAAAATAGATAAATACTCTTTGACCNATCAGGGAGTTACCCACAAGACTAGGACTTCCCCAAATACTAGGACTTATTGGACTAATTCAAAATAAAATAGATAAATACTCTTTGACCATCAAAAACATGATCTCAGATGTTTCCGACAATTCTGGTCGATTACAAGGGTTTGGAGACTAGGATTGTGCCTCCGCTTCACGTTAGGTTTTTTTTTGCATTTTTAGACGAGTAAGATTTAAAAATAATATAATGTTTTATTTTTTTTAAATCTTCTTCCTAATTAAAGTTGATTAAAAATCGGATCTGATTAGGCCTTAAACATGTCCTAATTGAAAAAAACAATAATCAGTCATTATTACAGACATTTTAACCAAGTTTAACTTAAAAAATCGTTAAATGGTTGTAATCAACTGGACTTTTAGTAACCAGACCGTTCGAGGATGGGCCTTTTGCAACCGGCCCTAACAAGTCTCGGTCCCGGCCTTCAGGTCCACCGTCCATTTGCTCCCCTCTCCAATTGTTATCATTAAAGAAGCAGAAACCGGACTTTTTTGCTTTATGTTTTTCTCTATTATTCTTTTTAAAATATATAATATTTATACACGGTAAATAGTCACACGCCTCATCTTTGATGAATTTTAAAACCCTTGATATCTTGAAAAACTAAACTCTAGGTAACCTGGGTATCGCTAAGTCTATAAACCAATTAGGTCAAAATGACATGATATTTTGACACCATAAAGATTCATGTTGTAAAACCTCCACCCCTTTTCGCTGAAACAATTCAGCAGATCTACTGTAAAACACAACAAAAACACTACGGTAAAACACGACAAAATTGTAAACGACATTCCCTGAAATATAATACAATGCTTAAACGAGCCATTGGTATTGAACAATTGTTTGACTACGAAAAATCCCTGATGAAAACGTAAGATCCGAAACGGGCCGAATGGGCGGTATTGTACAACGAGACATCCAAAATATAAACCGTATCATCGAACATCAAGCTTATCGGAAGGACTAAGATTTCCCATCTTTTCTGTAATTTTATCTAAATTATTTGTATTCCATAAAGATTTACGCTGACCCAACACATTACCTTCATCGTGTTTGTTAATTACATCCCGTCTTTCCGACTGAACTTCCTGTGTGTCGCCACCGCCAGGAGTTTCCGTCAGAAACTGTTCCCAGAATACATCATTTGCTCCTGTTTGTACTGTTGGGCCTGTTGTTGCTGCTGCTGTAGCTGTAGCGTCAGCTTCGGCAACAGCAACAGGCTCAGCATTCACATCAATTCCTGAAGATTTCACTCGAGAATCTTGATTGGCGTAGATCAGTGAAACGGCCGGGCTATCGGCATGATTCAAAGATACGGCCAAATCCGGGGAATCACAATCACCAGAGATTCGTTTTTCGGGTATAACAAGTGTTGATGGCTGTGAAACAATGCCAAAATTATATGTTTCTTCACCTGAAGCTTTAACGATATTGGTCACAAAATCCATCCAAAATTTCAAACTTGAATCCAGCTTGTTTAGCCCGTGATTCAACAACGGACTGGCATCTGGATTCTCGTTTTCATCGGCGTTCGCTTCATCGTGCAAGTATGTAGATATCAGTAACCTTCTCTTTTTGTTGTTTGTGGACGAAATCCCGGGTTTTTCTAGTAGTTGAGCAAGGAACGACATCATTTTCTTTTGCCGGAGTTGTATGTTCTTTAGACGATCCCGTAAAGAAGTTAACTTTTGTTCGTTTTCTTGATTTTCGTTCTTGTGCCTTTGTAGCTGAAGCCGAAGAGAGCTGGTTTCGTGTTTTAATCGCTTAATATCGTCCTCATATTCCTGTTTTTCTGAAAGAGATAGGGCGGATGAAGAACTCCCTTGAGGCGGTGCTGAGTGGCTATGGATTGGCTTCCGCCGGTGAATGTTCTTCAGAAGGTGTCGTTGTCCTCTTATGAATTCATCGTTCGCAAACTCCCATTGGTCGGGATCTATCTTCCTAAAACCCTATAAAAATCATTTTCAAAATGTCATATAATATAACAAAGTAAATTTGGATGTAAAAAGAACCAAAAAAAACAAGATACCATTTGTTGCATCAATGACATCAATCAACCGGAACATGTGTGACCGTAAAATTAACTGAATTCAATTAAACCACGGAAGCAACATCGACAACAACACACAATATAACATCCAACAATCTAGATGCAAAAAAACATAAATTTAGGATTATAAGAAAAAATTTACTAATCACAAAATTCAAGTACCCTAAAGGTGACTAGGACAAGACAAAACTGGGTGGAAAAAATTAAGGAAGATGGACAAGATTGATAAATTACTAAATTACCCATGTCAAATTCCATCATGTTTGTGTACAAAACACTTGCGGGACAGAACAATACAAAAACTTTATCCCACGTTTGGTGCGACATTAGAGTGGGACAGAATAAGATTGAGTGGATAAAAATCTGCTGTCCCAAAATCTCACTACCCATTCCTATTTACCAATTACATGAATACACATCATCAAATAGAGAATGTGAACTTGAATAAAACGAATCTAAAATATATAAAAGTCTGATGTGTCTTAGTTTCATTGTTTGGAGAGGGATGAAATGTGTGGTTTTGGGACAGTAGATTTTTATCCAGACTGTTTGTCCCACCAAAATGGATAGAACAAAAATAAAGGAGATTGGACAATATATGTAAATTACTAAACTACCCATGTCAAATTAAAATACTATAACCTTGCACAATTCTTTCACCAGCCTACCTCACTCTCGCCCGTCTAGTCCTGTCCAGTCCCATATGCATACCAAACGCACCCTAATGGACTAATGCAATTTTTATCACATATCCGTGTCAATATTGCATACATTTATTAAAAACTTGCAGCAAGAAAATGGAGCATAGACATGTTGGAAGGGGCATATGGTAGGCTTATGACAACATGGTCCAAGTTTATGTTTACCCAACTTCAACCCACTTGGTTACGAACAAGTCGTGTGCACAAAGTAATCACCGGTAGCCTTTGACCCAACTGATACTAATTGAGTTAGGGACTTGCAGCTAACAGGGGGTGTGTGCATTTTTACCATTTCAAGAAAAAGAATTGGTACAAGTGAAACCGACACATTATGATCAAAGATCTAAGCAACCCCAAGCTTTAAGAAACAGCTATAAAGATGACGAAAATGACAATATAACTACTTGAGGTTTTATCGTTAGGGTGTCTAGAAGACCAAAGACTGATGAAAAAGAAAAACAACTACTCCCTCCGTCCGAAAACAAGTGTCCGCATTTCTATGTTAGTTTGTCCCAAAATAATTGCCCAGTGTCTACTTTCCAATTCTATCCTTAATTATGAGATTGGAAAGTATTTACTCCCTTATCATTAAGGGTAAAATTGTCATTTAGTTAATTAAAAAGTACAATGATTACACATTGCTAAAACTGTGTGCCTTTTTTATAGTGGACATTTATTTTTGGGATGGAGGGAGTACTAGGTTACAAGAAGATTGCTGAAGAAAGAAAGCAACTACTTTATGTTGGTATCTTAAAACTACCTTAAATTCCTAACTATTAATACCGTGTCAGTAAACAACAAAAACCCAAATAAAATCATGATAAAATTACTCTTTTGCCCTAATTTCCGGTCCCCTACTATGCGTCTCTCTCTCTCTTCATGAGTTTCTGAAGTCCTAATCTAAAATACTTGTCAGCCATCATTAGAGTGAGATACCACAAAAGGAATCAGCTACACATATCAAATAGTAACTTCTATTCAAAAGAACACTCTCTCTTTTATTCGAGATATTTACTTATATAGCCTTAAAAACAATATTTTAATTAAGCCCATGAGACCTTCTGATGAGAAATGGATCCTTAAAACCATGACCTTCTGATGAGTATATGTGCATCTAAGGTTTCCATGACGAATGCATATCGTAAATATTAATCACCCACGACACATTGTTTTGTGAGGGGTAAAGCTCTATGCTTTGATTTCATACAAAAGCATGCATAAACTCAAGAAACAGTTATCTGTAATTCTACAACAATTGCTACTTGTCAATCTGCAGGTTTCGTCTCTTGAGAAATGTTTTTGTGTGTTTGGTCCTTGAAACAAGATGTGAAATTAATGGCTCGGATCCATGGGGTTTATGAAGACCATTTTGGAGGAACCTTTTTTTCTCTTCGGTCTTTCTTTCCTCTTAATTGTGTAAGAAACTAACTACAAGAATATTCATAAAAGAAAAACCTACAAACGAATTTGAAGAACATAGTTGGAATTTAGAACTAAAGAATTTAGTTTTTTTTCTTTTGAAAATAGGTCAAATTCTACATTTCTACTAAATATGACAAGAGGCTACACATGATTCAACCGCTGTCTAATTGCAACTCAGAAGTGATACTTGATAAGCTAATTGAGCACTATAATAATGGTGCAGATTAATGTCATACTCCAACATAAATTAACAAGGTAAAATATTATGATATTTGACAGCCCAAATTATCCCCTCTGTGCAAAAGTTTGGGATGCCGTCGATTTATATGTCCATTCAAGGATAAACTACAAAAAATGGCATTGTGAATCCCTTTTAGTTAAAACCAGATCTCCAGATTCCATGTTTCTTACTCTCTTTTACGTTGTGTTCTCAAATTTGGGAAGAAAAACCACAAGGGTGGTGCCTGATTGGTTTGAGCTCGGGCTACAAAGGTCAAAAGTGTCTGGAGGTTCCAGGTTCGAATCCAAGGAGGAATAAAAATCCCCTTGTGGCCACGAAGGTTCAAATACAGTGACTCCGGGCCACCCGCGAAGCGGGTGGTCGCCTTGGGATTAGCCGGCTCGCATAGCGGATTGGATATCCAGGTTAATCAAAAAAAATTGGGAAGAAAGGAAAAGAAAGTAAAGGAAATAAATTTTTTATTTGTGTTCTTGAGAGGAAAGGGAAAAGAAGGAAAGAGAAGCAAAGAAAATAAATTTTCATCAACTTGAGCAAGATGGAAAGAAATGATGTCATTTTTACAGATATACCCTTATTTATTTTATAGTGGTTGTAATTGATGGGTGGATGTGTAATTTCATAAACATTTTTAATTGTTATTATTACTTCCCCTCCCTTTCCTCCTACATTTGGGAGGAAATATTTAGAGGAAACTCGGCATTATTTCCTTCCCTTTCCCTCCTAAAGAAACTCAAGAACACGAGATTTTTTTCATTCTCCCAACTTTCCTTCCCTTTCCTTCGTAAAAAAGGACTCGAGAACACAGTGTAAAGATCTAGTCAACCTTCAATGCTTTTAGCCATGGCTCGTTTATTTGAACCAATCCATAGGGGTAGTCCATCACAGTAGTGTCTAATAACCATCTTTTTCTTTGTTTTCATCAATTAGAAGCAATTATGAAATGAAAAAATGTTTTACCCGAAGACAGAAGTTCTAAATATCCACCTTATATTTGCCTAATCAGCCACCTATGCTTTGATAACACCCGCCGGCCTTGGTTACCAACAAAATCACATAGTTAAGTGTTTCAAACACTAAAGCTAGATGGATTTAATAAGGGTAGGTGGGAATGGGATTAGTTTGGTTTACTCTATTAACCGGAACTAATCAATTAAGCAGCTTGGTAAGTGTTAGCCCTAAAAAAAATTCATTCAGCAGAAAATTGAGCCAAAAACTAAACTCAACTTCTACTTTTTTGTAGTCCAATTACTTGAGCTCAATTTAAAACAACTAAGCATATGTGAGAAGGTAAGAAGAGGTTAAATGTCGTGAGAAGGTAAGAAGAGAAGGTTAAGAAAGGTTCATTTGTGAATTATTGAAAAAAATCCGTTTAAAGATGCATATGTGAACCTGTATGAATAATTTGCAACTTTCGTTCACATATGCATCTTCAAATAGATTCTTTTTTCAGATTTTTTCAATGATTCACATATGAACCTTCCATTAACTTCCCCTTTCTTACCTTCTCACGATATCTAGCTTTCTAATTTGAACCTCCCACTATATACATATATGCATAAAGAAGTCCTCACTTTGTAACATATACCATTCTTTCCCTAAGGTTTCTCTATAATCAACTCCTCACAAGTGGTTACTAACTTCTAATTTTACCCGCATCCATTTGGCACATATTACATTACTCAATGCACAAATAGACGTCAATAGGGCGTACAAACCTAGGTAATCTAGTTCATGTTATCAAGCCCAAGTAGATGCATTCATGCTTGGGTATATAAAGATTAAAAAACCACAACCCAAAGCATAGGCATGAGGGCCGGTTCACCCCCATATGTCGCCCATTTGAGTCTCCTCAGGGCCACCAGGGATTTTTCCCACTAGTTATCTTCCAGGCCCCATGGGATATGCATAGGCCAAACTCGACCAGACACCCATGATTACCCAAACAATGTAAATAAACAAGGCATACAAGAATATATATATATATATGCTTACATATGTATTGAGCTGTCGAACAAAACTGGAGAAATTGTTGTGCTTGAAGTACTTGGGAAGCAATTCACTAGCGAATTCCGGTGGATTCCAAACAACAAAACTAGTCCCAATATGACTCCAAGAAACAATATGATCAGTCAAGGGATCATCTACCATCTCATATGTTTTTGTGAGAAATGGTGGTGATGAATTTGAACCGCCTTGAGAACCATCCATCATAAGATCAAGAAAAACTTCAATCAACCACTTCAGCCTCTAGAATTCAGATCCAAATTCACTAAAAGCATCTCAAATAGCCCCTCTTAATTTTCAATTAGCGAAACTCCAACCAACCTACCCCACCTGGATCAAATCGATAATCAGCACTAGAACAAGTCAGTTATCACAAATCAGAAGACTATTCACAATCAATAAACCCAATTTCCATGTTAACAAAACAATAAATCCTAACATCATATCTAATAGCAATTAATGAAATAATACATTTCCCCAAAGATCTCCCACTGGACCAGGTCAAATAACATGAAACAAACGTGAGATTTGATTTGAGAACATGAGAATAGGGTTTAGATCAAAGAAACTGTTTGTATCCTCGTATAGAAGAATTTACCTTGACCAGAATAGAGGAAGAAGACGAAGGAGTTGACTTTGGAGTTTGAAGTTGAAGAGGTTGGATTTGATCGAGTTGAATATGAAAGCGTGTGCTTGATTTTTGAGCAGGAGGAAAGAAAGAAGGGTTTGTGATAGGGCAATGAAAAAAATATGATCTGGGTTCGTCCCGAAAAGGAGGGGAAGCAACCAGCGACACAGGTGGACTTTAAGAAGCCGCCGCCGCCGCCATGTGTCTCCTATAATGAGCATTAGCGGCCATGGATGAACATAATTTAATTGCACTAAAATGGAATTAGGAGTTTTAGGGGTGTTTGGATTAGATTTTTTAGAGTTATTATATCATGATTTTATTGTTCATTTTATTCAATAAAGTTATAACCCACGCCAAATAATTTTTAGGTTTTAGTTGATCTTGAATATTAATTTTGTTTTGAAGAGTACTCGTATAATACAGTAAGATATATTTCGATTTCAATATTTCATTTTATTTAACTTTCATGACTTTCTCGAGATTGAAGTCCAATCTTAGGGATTCGTTACTTTTTTTTTTGTCTCTGTCGATGTTATAATATTAATTTATGTTGTTTTAACTAAGTAATAATGTTTTTCTTAATAATATATAAATTTAAAGGTGTCATAGAATTAAAATATATATATATATATATATATATATATATAAATTCTATTTTTTATGTAATTTCTTTATTTCAATTTTTTATTAATGATTTAATTTAGGTTTGATGACAAGGTAATTTATTTTTGATTTAATAATATAATTTTTACAAAGACAATAACTAAGGAGTTGTTTACCAAATATTTACTTGGTAAGTGCTTATCGGTAAAATTTAACAATATTATTTACTTACAGGGTATAATTTTAGTCTACCAAAGCGATATCGCATGTAACAATTTACCCGGTGAGCGCTTACTGTGGTAAGAGTCGGCGCCCTCACTTATCGGGTAAGACTCTTGGTCCTTGTCCCGCTCTTACCAGGTAAGATTCTTGGTCTTTACCATATTCATTCGATGAGGTAATATGACTTGGTAAGCGCTTACCCGGATAAGCATTTGGTAAACGGCCCCTACGTAATAAATCCAATAATCATCTTAATTATATTTTAAATTTTATATTTAAAATAAGAATTTTATCTTGTATTTGGTCATATTTATCTACAATTAATTAAACGAATTCAAACATTGAGCTTAATAAGTTGTATTCACGCACAATTTAGTTGTAATCTTAAATTTTAAGTAATATGTATCAATAAACAGTACTTTATGTATAAAAGATGATTTTTAAATTTTATTGTCAAATGTTTATAATATAGTATAGGTAAGAGGTAGTTTAACGAACGTTTATTGAATAAGTACTTGGTGACAGAGTCGTCACTTTGTTTACTTTATGAGTTAATATTCCCAACCATGAAAAGAAATTGATGATAAGTGTTTATAACTGATAAGTGTTTATCGGGTAAAACTCTCGATCATTGTATTTTTATCGGGTAAGATTTTTGGTCTTCGTTATATTTACCTAGTAAAATGCTTGAACAAATAAGCGCTTAACAAAGTAAATGTTTAGTAAACGGCCCTTAAGTTTGACTTCAATGATATCAATATTTGACTTTTTCAGGTTGAGACGAATTATATGTGCATGCATTTTTTTTCGGAACATGTTCACATATTTATAATTCATACGATTGGAATATAAAAAGTATCCAATTTGAGACGATAAATGAGTTAACAGATCTAGAATTTGGGACCATATTCCATATATTTGAAACTTAAATTTTAGGTCATAATATGTAACTTAAAATTATTAAAGGAGTACTGAGTTTAAATTATGATCTGATATAATTTTATTAAATCAGTTAAATCCAAATAACCTGATAGTTGATCGACTCTACTAGTTTACATCACTAAAAATGTTGGAACCCACATTCGAAGATTGTAATAGAACTATTTGTGTACAACTATTATCTATACAATATTATAAAAAATTTGACAAAAACTCTTAAAAACCATTTTTATGCACGAAATACTGTTTATTGATGCATTAAATAATTTAATATTACAAGTAAATTGTGCATAAGTACAACTTATTAGAATTTCATATTTGAATTCGTATAATTAACTGCAGATAAACATAATCAAATATTGGATAAACATCTCATTTTATATATAAAATATCTAAAATATAATTAAGATAATCATTGAGTTCTAACAGAATACTTAATTATTATCTTTATAAAAAAATTAAATTATTAAACCTAAATTAAAAAAATTGAATTAAGGAGATTACACCAAAATACAAGAACTTTTAAAAAGATTAATTTGATACTGATATAAATATATTTTTTTTTTTCAAAATTTTATGATATTTTCAAATTTATATTTTATTCAAAAATAAAAACATTATCGTTTTCTCAAAACCACATAAAACCGTATTATATCGAAATAAAAAAAAATTAAAACAAAACACTGAAATCAAAATGTATCTTGATACATCACACGAGTACCCTTCTAGTTTATTATAATCAATTAGTTAAGATATTAATTTTATCAAAATTGGTATTATAGTTATTTAGTTTTTTATATTAAAATATGTTATTAGACATATGAAAATATTGTGAGGTTTTTATTTGCAATAAAACATTTCTTAAATTAATACTCAAATAATAATAAATGTTTTGAGATAATGTTTTATTTGTGTTGGTTGAATAAATCATTGATTTTGATAAAATAATAAGATAATATATTTATAAAAAAAAACTATATAAATATATGATCTATAATATCATACCGATGATTCTTTTAGAGTTACAAATAAAATCAAGATAACCAGAATGGTGGTGTCTAATTGATTTGAGTTTGATATTTACATGTTAAAAGTGTCTGAGGTCTCAAGTTCAAATCAAAGAAAAAATAAAAAAAATTATTGTGGTCATGAAGGTTTTAATGTGATGACTCTGGAATACCCACATAGCGAGTGGTCGTCTTAAAATTGATCGGTTTGTATGACGGGTTGAATATGTAGGTTAATTAAAAAATAAGACAATTTAATAAAATAAGATTTTAATTTTATTTGTGAAATATAGAAGATGTGATTTTATGACATTTTTTGAGTTATAAACAATTGTCTCCTGTAGTAATATATATATATATATATGTATATATATATATATATAAATATATATATGTGTGTGGGGGGGGGTGTGGGGGGGTGTCAAACGAGAACATCTACATTTTACGAGAATGCGAAAAACATCCTTATCACATGTGATAATACACTGAAGTGGACTTGGTGGTGTATGGATGTCGTGTCTTGCAACTTAGGTAGTATGCGTCTATGATTTAGTATCACATATGATAGTATTGATGAATTATAGTATCACATTAATAACACATTTATCACATGTGATAGTACATGTGAGGAGGCTTACTAGTGTAAGAGCGACTCGACCTACAACGTAGATTGCGTCAAAAGTCATTCATGTATGTGATTTAGTATTCATGTGTATCATATGTAACCGAATAATAGTATCACATGTGATTGTTTATGGTAAAATGGTGTTCTCACGTTCTCGTAAAATGAAGATGTTCTCGTTTGAATCATTCTTTATATGTATATATATAATTTAAAGAAGTTATACTATATGTTGTTTTTTATAAATATATTCAAACTTGTATGACCCAAAACAAGAACCGGCAACTATGAATCAAAATGGTTTTGACATGTAACTGAGTTATTAACAAGGTGAGATGATTTTATTCAAATACAAGACGGATAATGAGTATGATTTGATGCAGTTCGCTAGCTTCAACCGGTGAGTAGGCCAGAAAATGCTTCCTCATACTGGTGTCTTTAAAGTAGGTTTCATGTAATGCCAGTTGGGGTTAGGTTTCCATGAGAAAGAAAGTTACAATGAGAATAGTGATAAGATATTTCCACTCTAATTGAATATCAACACTAATGAGGTACACCGAAATACACCATATCAATTCCGTTCACCGATTAGTTGGATTGTCAGTAATCGATTTTTTTCCCAAATAACCATGAGTCGAGATCATGGTTTATTTTATGGAGCAATTCATAACCCGACCCGCACCAGGTGAACCTGAGAGTGAGACGTAGGACACGTTCTTGTATATCACCCATAAAAAAACCCATTATTCTGTCTACAAGAACCATCAAAACCGGCGAGCTTCAGTCAAGCAGGCAGCAGGGAGATGGAGGCTCAAACGGCGAGACGGAGAGTTGAGATCATTACTGCTCATTTATCTCCCGCGGATAACATCTCTGCAACCGCAGTTGGCCCTCATGTTTTCCCTCTGGTAATCGGCTCTCTTGTTATTGTTTTGAAGCGTAAATGATTTCAGATTACTACTATTTTATTAGTTTCCGGCCTAAATCGATTCAGAAACAATCATCTTATCCACTACTTTCCAAAATAATTGAGTTGTTTGATTGATTAAAACTGACGTGTTTTAAGGAGATTTATGGTTTTGATGTGTTAATTTCTTTGAATTTGGCTTGTTCTGTCAACAAACGGATTCGGTATTGGACAATTGTTGAAGTATGTGCGTGCTCCGTATTCAAATTTGAGTTTGTGTTCGTAGACTAGATGAATACTAATTCTGATGTTGCTATATCTTATTCAACAGACTGTTTTATCGAGGTGGAGTAACTGTATTTATATCGATATGATTATATGTTGTGTGTACTATACCTTTATATGTAATACAATTATGTCATATCATAAGGAATGTTTTGTTTCATGGGGAATATATTGCTGCTCAAATATAAGATCTGTTGCTATTTGCATGTAGCTTTATTAATTATGTTCTAGGTTTAAACATTACAAGTTCTATTCTCTTTGGATAACAAGGGAGATTTCATGACCAATCCAAACATAGAAGGCGTTGCCTATGCATTTAGGGGTTGGGTGAAGGGTGTAAAGAAGGTTGTCACCAATATAAAATCGAGTTACATGAATGGTCCATTAACCGTTCGTCTATTTACTTTAAATTTGGTTCAAATTTAAGAAAGGGCTACACAAAATTATGTAATATGAATCTACTCCTATTTCCATCACAAGAGGAACATCAAGATTCATGGTTATGCAAACGGTTCAAACCTAGAAGCATAATGTGTTGTTTGAACAAATTAGTAATTGTGGATTGGATGTCCAATTGACTGCTGGTATAGGACTTTAGTCACACTCTCTGATCCTTGTTTTGCTGAATATCTGTATGTTATATAAACTTTACTCATTCGGTTGCTTTTATTGCCTCAGAATTGCAGTGGTGGTTTAACCTCCATCAAGAGGAGAGGTGATAATCGTATTGATTTTGCCAGACAAGATTCGAGGTCCCAAGGTGGTTTCATGAGGCAGGCTTCAACAGAACAGGTCTTAAATTTGGCGTACATTACCCTTATGTTTTTGCAAAACGTAGTGTATAATATTACTTTTTATGTTAAACGTATTAGCTTTCAACTTAAACTTTCCTCCATGCAAACTTCCAAAAACCAAGCCAAACCAACCAAACCTAGTATGTCTGACCCGGAGAAGGGGTCCAACCGAGAGGGGGGGGGGGGTGTACACAGACCTGACCTCTACACCGAAGAGTAGAGTGGTTGTGCTGTGAAGACCCTGGCTTGCGCTAAGTGTGCCAAAAGAAATGACAAAGCTTGCCCAAAAAAATTACAGAAATAGAAAAATAAGAACTTGAAAATAAGAAAGGCAATGCTAAAAATTGAAAAAGCTTCAGAAATAAACAACATTTAAACAGCTGAAGAAACAAACAGATAAATCACACAACCAGAAGCATGCACAAGAAAACATAACCATGCAAACTTTCAGTAACCAGCAATAGTGGAACACTACCCTTTGGTCAAACTGGTACCAGCCGAGTCTCTTGATCCAGTGGTTGTGGATTTGAGACTTATCTTTAACAGGTTTCATGTGTGTTTGAACTGTTTAAGGAAAACAAAAGTGCTGGGAAATGGAAATGTTTTGTAATAAAAAACATGTGAATTCGTAACTTGAAAAGTCAAGAGGTTTAATCTATCAGATTGAGCATCTAACATTCACCTGTGCTTTTTTAACAGGTTTCATGTGTGTTTGAACTGTTTAAGGAAAACAAAAGTGCTGGGAAATGGAAATGTTTTGTAATAAAAAACATATGAATTYGTAACTTGAAAAGTCAAGAGGTTTAATCTATCAGATTGAGCATCTAACATTCACCTGTGCTTTTTTAACAGGTTTCATGTGTGTTTGAACTGTTTAAGGAAAACAAAAGTGCTGGGAAATGGAAATGTTTTGTAATAAAAAACATATGAATTYGTAACTTGAAAAGTCAAGAGGTTTAATCTATCAGATTGAGCATCTAACATTCACCTGTGCTTTCCAGGATTTTTCTGGCCAGTCTAGTCTGCCTTCCATGTCCACTCTATCCCATAAAGACGGGTCCTCTGAACTTGTGACACCCTTGTTTTCTCAGCCGGCCAGCATTAACTCCAATGTTCCAAAAGTAAGAAATCTTCAATATGCCGTTGATGATTACATGTTACCTTCTCCCCAGCCACCCAAGTTTGCCAGAACAACCGTAGAAAGAGACGTGCCAAGGAAATTCAGCCCCAAGAACAGCATGCATACTACTAAACATCTCGGTAATCAAATTTGTCAAATGGCATGTGGACTTTCACACATCAGTTATGTTACTTCATTCATTCAAAATTTCCATATTGACGCTTCATATGATACAGGACTCGAGGAAAAACAATCCCCAAGGATGGACGTTGCAGAATCTAAAGGAAAATATATTCTGCTGATAGAACTGCCAGGGATTAGTAAAGATGACATAAGAGTTGAAGTTCATAATACAACGTAAGGTTATTTCTCTTAAGTGTGCATAAATAGCACATCACATTGCTGTGGCAAGATGGTTCTGGCACAAAACCTAAGCACACTCCCATGCCCCAGCACAGAAAATACCCACATACACCATATACACCCACAATGCACCTAATTAGGTAAGCGCTAACGGGGTAAGACTGCGTCTGGGTCAGCACTAATGACTGACCGAGCAAGACGACCCCCCAGCTTAAAGAGGGTCCACAGGTTGACTGACCGTCTCACAATTTTCTTTTAAATCCATGACCTGCTTACAAGTTTGAGAATGTCACTTCCATATACAAGAATGTCATTAAACTTGTCCGAAGGTTATGTTAATAAAATTATTTGGCAAAATAGTCCGTGATAAGAGGGGCTTGGTAAACAACAGCATCTCTGTCCTCTTACCTGGTAACAGGTGGTAAGCAGGTTGTAACTTGTAAGCAACGCATTAGTTAAATGACCTTTATTGGAAGTCACTTTTACAAACTAACCATCTAGTTATTTTTCAAGATTTTATAGCACATCATAAGTTCAGATGATTTGGAGGTTATTGAGTTAAGAAAATAAAAAGAACGGTTATGGTTCTAATTGAAAACTCATTTAAAGTCATTTAACTAAACCTAAACCGTACTATCTCTACGCACCCCCGCTCTAGTCCAAAAGCATGTGTGATTAAACAACGCGACATCATTCTAAACTTCTAATCCATCCCACAACCAAACATGGTTTTTGCTTGCCACAATCATGCTTTTTCCCATGTTTATATGTCATCGATTAAATTCCAAATAATTGCTGACAAATTTCTCGATAGTCTGATTGTACAAACAGCCAAGGGGAGGACTACAAGCTGCTCTTTTAGTGATCGTGCGAGCTCTTCATATTACAGAAGGGAGATTCTAGAAGGTCCCTTCGAAATCGTGTGGCCACTACCCCTTGATGTGAATCCAGATTCTGTTTCAGCTGAATTTTTGTAAGTCAGCATCTTCAATTCATCCTGTGTGCCAGCATTTGTTGTTGTTCTAGCTTATTGTTTCTTTTTTTCCTTTGTGCGTTTGGTGTATGGGACAAGACGGAAAAGGACTGAAACTAAAATTTCTCACGTTTGGTGCAACATTTAGACCGGGACAAGACATGAATGAGTGATGCATTTTTGTCCCATCAAAATAGGTGGAACAAAAGTCGGAAGTCAAAAATAAGAGGATGGGACAAAATTGATAAATTACTAAACTACCCATGTCAAATTAAAACCCTAAAAACTCACAAGGTTTTTTCACCGCCTACCTTACTCTCGTCTGTCTAGTCCAGTCCTGGTCATTCCCTTCCTTGTGATGCTCAAACTAGAGACCCTGGTTATCAAGGCTCTCCGGGGTTGTGATTCCTCTGCATGCAATGTTTTCGTGAGTAGAATCTATGATTTCCCCGTCTCTACCCCTCAAGGTAGAGTATGGTTTGCATACATTCTACCTCCCTAGACCCTACTTATGTGGGATTTACTGGTTTTGTTTGGTTTAACCCATGACGTTCCTGAATGAAACTTGATGTTGATAGAATATTACTTGTGCAGGGACGGCCTTTTACGTGTTACCATCCCTAAACTTCGAGTCCCAGTCTGGTGATGCAGCCTCTCGGGTAATTCGTATATATATATATATATACTTGTATATTGTAGTATAAATCTCAAAAGTTATATCTGGTGTATTTAATGAATTAAATCATTCGCTACTCAGACAGACCGTGTACAAATCACATAAAATATGTTAATATTCACACTGTATGCATCAGTAGGGGTACACATCCCATACTTCTGGTAATTCTTGTATTTGTTGCGTAGCTTTACGAAAACAGTCTCTCTACTCTTCGAGGTGCCGTTTACCAAACGCTTACCCGGGTAAGCGCTTACCAAGTCACTTTACTTTACCGGATGAATATGGCAAGAACTAAAAATCTTACCCAGTAAGAGCAAAGGCAAGAATCGAGAGTCTTACCCGGTAAGTAAGGACGAGGACTCTTACCGGAATAAATTGTTGCATACGATGCGTTTTAGTGAATAAAATCTTATCCGGTAAGTAAGCGATAGTGTTGAATTTTAATGGTAAATGCTTACCGGGTAAGTGTTTAGGTAAACGGCCCTTGAGTGTGAGTAATAGGTTGGTCTGGTTTGGAGAGGGTTAGAAATTCCGATTAGAGTGGTCCCCTTAAACATAATTATGTAAATGTAAATAAAATTAAATAAGTCAACTATAAAATGAAATTATATCTGTGAAGTGATCAATCCATAAAATAAATGTATGTAACTACTTTATAAATCATATATTCAACAATGAATTTGGCAAGCTTTTATTTTATGAACATGATAATAATATCTTCATCATCAATGTGGCAAAAATATCATTTTCAATATAAGTAACCAAATATGGATTTAAGTAAATTGTAATTTTGGACAAATTACAACGTAAATTTTATATTTAACGATAAGAAGATCCTATGAAAAGAATATAAATTATGCAAGTGATTGATAAGAAAGAGAGGCTAAGGTGTCATTTTAACGAACTTTTACTCGGTAAATGTTTACCGGGTGAGTATGACAAGCAGGGGCGGATGTAGTGGTTTAAAGGAGGGGGGAAGGGACCCCAGTCAAAAACTCAAAAACAAAAATTCATATGTTGAAATTTATGTTTTACATGATTTACCTTTCACTTTCCCCCATTACATTTTTCCGTGGGCCCCCAACCCCAATCAAAACTGTTACTCTAACAAAAAAAATCTGTTGAAATCAATCAAAAAAACCAAAAAAGTTATTCGAAATCGACAAAAACACTAAAAAATCCTTTGAAATCAACCAAAAAACTTTAAAATTCCCTCGAAAACGTTGTAATTAGGTTAAAAACACATCGGACAATTTTGTGGGTTTTTAGTCTACCTTAAAGGTGACCCAACTGAACAAAAATCTTGGATCCGCCACTGATGACAAGAACTAAGAAATTACACAGTAAGTGAGAGAGAAGATTTTTTTATCGGTTAGCACTTATGAGTAAGATGTTTACCAACAATACATGTTGATGATTGTGAATGTTATACAATAAGGTAAGTGAGAGTAGAGACTTTTGTCGGTAAACGTTTGATAAACGACTTTAAACATGGCTTACATATCAAAAACCAAATGAAATATGCATCAACTTAAGTATTCTTTCACTCAGATACAAGTGTTCACTTCAATAGGTTGAGGGTGTGCCTAGGATCATCCTGGACCAAGGTTAAGAACAAGGAATAATTCCACTTAGAATACATTATTACAATGTGAATATATATAAGTGAATAATATTCCTATTATATATATTCACGTATGATATACACTACATGCATAAACAAAATTATTGATGTTATGTCCAACTTGATTCATATGCAAATTCGTTGTGAGATAACATACATGTTTAAATCTCAAACATTTTTAATAAATATAAAATCAAAATGAATTTAATTTAATACAAAAAACCACAATATCATATAAGAACTAATAACTTAAAACCAAAAAAGTTCAATTAAATCCAAAAAAACTTAAAGTGACGTATACCAAAACATACTGAGTAATATAAAATCATATGGAGTCATATACAAAACTTATCGAGTAATTGTATTTTGACTTGACATACAAAATATTACATATTAACATTAAAAAAACAATCTAGATTATAAACCTAGTTAGAAAATAAGAAATTATAAACTATCGTTTTAGTTGAAATAAATAATATATATATATATATATAAAATGGGTACGAGACGGAACGAGGAATATCATACCCGTCCCGTCCCCATCCCCGATTTAGGGGGGAATCCCTGTCCCCGACCGGAGCGGATGGACCGGTTTCCCCCACGGGTCGGGACACATTCTCATGCCTATCTATGGTTTATAATTAATTACCTTTTTCGACCTTATGATTTAAAATTTATTGTTTTTTTTTCATTTTAATAATTTATAATTCATTTCTATTTTAGTTCATCATACTTAAAAACAGTGTTTTTATCTTCAGGGACAAAAATAGAATGAATTGCAAATTATAGTGATGAAAATCGAAATTCTAAAACCATAGGGACAAAATCCAAAAAATTTAGTAAACCACAAGGACTAAAAACGTAATTTCTCTAAACTTTTTTCCACGTGTAAATTATATACCAAAAAAGAAAAAAGCAGCGGTCCCCATGGGGTTGATAAGGAAGCGCGTACGGTCCACTACGTGTAGAGCAAGTCCAATTAATGAAAACGTGTCTGCCCCTTGTCTTCCTCTGACTTCGTCCACTCTTCCAAATTTATATAAAACGAAAAAACATAATTTATATTTATATGGGAGTTGTTATAAGTTGTAATTAAATGAGAACTAATTAGTTTATGATAATTATAAAATTTATCGTGAGTCGATTATTTAAGATAATTAATATTTTTTTAAAAGAAAATAGAAGGGTACATTAATAATTTGAGTTAATTATTTAATTTACTTTAATTAATTTAATATTTTAATTTACTTTAATTAGATTAATAGTTTTAATTAGATTAATTACTTTATTTTGGTATCACATTGCGCATGGTGTGTATCACACTAGTATTTAGTTCTCCATTAAATGACTCTCCACATATATATACACAAACACACACACACRCGCGTCGGTATCATAGGAATACTATAGTTGGTATCACAATTGTACCATAATTGGTATCATAGTGGTCTCGAAGTTTACTTGATGTGTTTTGAATATTACATTATATGTATTTTTTGGGTATCACTTGTGTATCTTGGTGTATTTTGGGTATCACATGGTATTTGCCGAAATAAGGTTTATCGGAGGCCGGAAGCAGAAGAGAGAGCAGATGAGAGATAAAAAATAAATAAATATCTAAAATGCCCTTAAGTTAAAATTTTAAGTCAAATTAACAAAAATATCAGTTTATTAATTTGTCTATTGATTTGTGGTTGAAATTGGATTTCACAATTATCCATATAAATTTATACGAGTGTGTATATATATATATATATAGAGAGAGAGAGAGAGAGAGAGAGAGAGAAAGAGGATCATACGAAAATAAAAGCTAAAAGTGAGAAGCGTAAGAAAAGATTTTTATCTTTAATCATTTTTAATCTTACTCTTACCTTGTAAATTGTATTTACACTTTGTAAATCAACTAGTTGTGTACCCGCGCAATGCAGCGGGAGCCATGAATTTTAACGATTTTGAAGTTTCACTGGTTTTATAAGATAAGATTTAATGATGATATAGGTTACACTTGGTTTTTACATATTAATACAATTTGAATAAATAAAGAGTTATGGTTTCAATTACAGACTATCGATGAAAAAAATTATATGACAGTTTAAAATGCAATATATTTAAAATCCAATATATTTAAACGACTCCACAAATGTGTTCGATTTACACCAAGAGCAAAGAACCAATAAACTTGAGTTTTAAGATAAACACTCAAAATCAATAAAAAACTACAAATTTAACAGATTATAAGCCATGAAAAGACCAAAAAAGATGAGTTTTAGAATGAAATTTCAACTGTTTACCCTCTTTATTGTCCAGAAACTCAGATTAAGGTTGAATTAATACACATGTATATATATATATATATATATACTATATAACCCAAGAACATATTAATTCAGAATATACTATATAGTGCAATTTGGACAGGTTAACCCCAAAATATATAGTATATATATATATATATATATAACTATAAAAGTATAAATCGTAAATATTAAAAATATTTTTTCACAGTATATATAATATAT